GTTTGGAAAGCCTTTAAATACATAGAGGTTAAAGAACATTCCACTAAAGAATGAATGGGTTAACCAGGAAATTAAAGAAGAAATAAAAAAAAAAATACATAGAAGCAAATGAAAATGAAAAGATGACCATTCAAAACCTTTAGGATGCAGCAGAGGCATTCCTAAGAGAGAAATAATATTGCAATACAGGTCTTATACCTAACTCTAACACTTAAAGGGATTAGAAAAGGAGCAGCAGTTGAAGCCTAAAGCCAGCAGAAGAAGAGAAATAATAAAGACTAGAGCAGAAATAAATGATACAGGAACAAAAAACCCAGTAGAACAAATCAATGAAACTAAGAGGTGGTTCTTCAAAAGAATTAATAAAATTGATAAACTCCTAGCCAGACTTAATGAAAAGAGAAGAGAAAGGACCTAAATAAATAAAATCATGAATGAAAGGGGAGAGATCACAACTAACACCAAAGAAATATAAACAGTTATAAGAGAATATTATGAAAAATATGCCAACAAACTGGAGAATCTGGAAAAAATGGATAAATTTCTAGAAACATTGAAAGTACCAAAACAGGAAGAAATAGAAAATTTGAACAGACCCATAACCAGCAAAGAAATTGAAACAGTAATCAAAAACTTCCAACAGGGGCGCCTGGGTGGCGCAGTCGGTTAAGCGTCCGACTTCAGCCAGGTCACGATCTCGCGGTCCGTGAGTTCGAGCCCCGCGTCGGGCTCTGGGCTGATGGCTCAGAGCCTGGAGCCTGTTTCCGATTCTGTGTCTCCCTCTCTCTCTGCCCCTTCCCCGTTCATGCTCTGTCTCTCTCTGTCCCAAAAATAAATAAACGTTGAAAAAAAAAAATTAAAAAAAAAAAAAAAAAAAAAAAAAACTTCCAACAAACAGGAGTGTAGGGCAGCAAGATGGCTTCCCAAGGGAATTCTACCAGACATTTAAAGAAGAATTCATAACTATTCCTCTCAAACTTAAAAAAAAAAAAAAATAGAAATGGAATGGAAACTTCCAAACTCATTCTGTGAGGCCAGCATTACCTTGATTCCAAAAACAGACAAAAACCCCACTAAAAAAGAGTTATAGGCCAATATCCCTGATTAACATGGATGCAGAAATTCCCAACAAAATACTAGCAAATCAAATTCAACAGTACATTAAAAGAATTATTTACCATGATCAAGTGGGATTTATCCCTGGGCTGCAGGGCTAGTTCAGTATTCACAAATAGATGAATATGATACACCACATTAATAAAAGAAAGTGTGCAAACCATATGTTCCTGTCAATAGATGCAGAAAAACATTTGACAAATTACAGCATCCATTCTTGATAAAAAAAAAACAAAACCCTCAACAAAGTAGGGATAGATGGGACCTAACCATATACGAAAGACCCACAGTTAATACCATCCTCAGTGGGGAAAAACTGAGAGCCTTTCCCCTATGGTCAGGAACAAGACAAGGATGTCCCCTCTCACGATTACTATTTAACACAGCACTGGAAGTCTCAGACTTAGCAATCAGACAGCAAAAAGAAATAAAAGGTAGCCAAGTCAGAAAGGAAGAAGTCAGATTTCCACTATTTACCAATGGCATGATACTCTATGTGGAAAACCTGAAAGATTCCACCAAAAAATTACTAGGACTAGTACATGAATTCAGCAAAGTTGCAGGATATAAAATCAACCTACAGAAATCTGTTGCAATTCTATACGCCAATAACAAAGCAACAAAAAGAAATGAAGGAATCAATTCCATTTGCAACTGCAGTTAGGTACCTAGAAATAAAGCTAAACAAAAAGGTAAAGATCTGTACTCTGAAAAATATAGAAGGCTTATGAAAGAAATTGAAGAGGACACAAAGAAATGGAAAAACATTTCATGCTCATGGATTGGAAGAACAAACATTGTTAAAATGTCTATACTACTGAAAACAATTCACACATTTAATGCATTCCCCGTCAAAATGCCACCAGCATTGTTCACAGAGCTAGGACAAACCTAAAATTTGTATGGAACACAAAAGACCCCAAATAGCCAAAGCAGTCCTGAAAAAGAAAAACAGAACTGGAGGCATCACAATTCTGGGTTTCAAAGTATATTATAAAGCTGTAGTCAGACCGTATGCTACTGGCGTGAAAACAGACACATAGATTGATGGAACAGAATAGAAAACCCAGAATGGACCCACAATTATATGGTCAACTGATTTTTGATGAAGCAGAAAAGAATAGCCACTGGAGGAAAGACAGTCTTTTCAAGAAGTGATGTTGGGAAAACTGGACCACTTCCTTCTACCACGTACAAAGAATAAATTCAAAATGGATGAAAGACCTAAATGTGAGACAGGAAACCATCAAAATCTTCGAGAAGAACACAGGAAGCCACCTCTTGACCTTGGTCAGAGCAGCTTCTTACTAGAAATGTTGTTGGAGACAAGGGAAACATACTGATACTTCATCAGAATAAAAAGCTTCTGCACAGGAAAGGAAACAATCAACAAAACTAAAAGGCAACCTACAGAATTGGAGAAGATATTTCCAAATGACATATATGATAGTTATCCAAAAGCTATAAAGAACTTAGCAAACTCAACATACAAAATACAAAAAAAAAAAAACAAATAACCCAGTTAAGAAATGGGCAGAATACATGAATAGACAGTTTTCGAAAGAAGACATCCAGATGGCTAACAGACACATGAAAAGATGCTCATCACTCATCATCAGGAAAGTATAAATCAAAACCATGATGAGATACCACCTCACACCTGTCAGGTTGGCTAAAATTAACAACACAAGAAACAACAGGTGTTGGCAAGGATGCACTGTTGGTAGGAATGCAAACTGGTGCACCCACTCTGAACAGTATGGAGGTTCCTCAAAAAGTTAAAAATAGAACCACCCTAGAATTCCAACAGTTGCACTCCTAGGTATTTATAGGTATTTACACAAAGGATACAGATAGACTAATTCCAAGAGATAGATGCATACCAATGTTTATAGCAGGACTATCATTAATAGCCAAATTATAGAATGAGTCTAAGTGTCTACCAACTGATGAATGGATAAAGAAGATGTGGCATATGTACACAATGGAGTATTATTCAGCCATCAAAACGAACGAAATCTTGTCATCTGCAATGACATGGATGGAGCTAGAGTGTATGTTGCTAAATGAAATAAGTCAATCAGAGAAAGACAAATACCATATAATTTCACTCATGTGGAATTTAAGAAACAAATCAGATGAACATATATGAGGGGAAAAAGGAAAGGCAACAAACCAGAAGAGATTCTTTTTTTAATTTTCAAAAGAGACTCTTATTTTCAAAAGAGACTCTTAACGACAGAGAACAAGCTGAGCATTGATGGAGGGAGGGAGGTGGGCAATGGACTGGATGAATGATGGGCATTAAGGAGGACACTTGGGAGGAGCACTTGGTGTTGTGTGTAAGTGCTGAATCACTGAATTCTTCTGAAGCCAATATTGCACTGTATGTTAACTAATTAGAATTTAAATAAAAAGTTGAAAGAAAATATATTGTCACTGAAGTTTGTTATTGTTGACAGGCATGTAACCCTTACAGATCTCTGATTCTTACCTGTACTGAATCTTAGCGAGTGAGGTTTAAATCTCGTGTGTGTGTGTGTGTGTGTGTGTGTGTGTGTGTGTGTGTGTGTGTGTTTACAATATCTATAATTTTAAAAAAGTATCCAAATGCTAGTGACCCCCAAATTTATGTATCTAGCTCAGACCCGTTCTCTAAGCCCTAGGTTTTTGTGTCCAACTCTTTATATGTGTCAGTTTGTTTCAGAAATGACTGAAAACCCCTGTGTTCTGGGTGTGAGCCTTAGAGCACAGACTTCTCCAGAGCATGGGTTTTTTCTCTTTGCTTCAGTGGTAGATTCTCACCGACCAGACAGTGCCTGGTGTGCAGCAGGCCCTCAGTAGCTTCCAGTAGCTTCTCCTCTCTCATTTTACACAAATTCTCTAACTTTATTGTCCTAAGTGTCCATGTACTTACTCCTTCCTGTGTGTTCTACTCCCCGCTCCCCACCAGGGCGGCGGTGCCTTAACTCCTGGATGAGCTCAGACCTCTTTCTTGTGCAGACCATGTACGACTCTTTGCATCAAGCACGTTGTAGTTGTAGCCTGTAGTTGGAGGTGTGTTTGAGTGGTGGATTGTGCCCACCCACTTTTCCCCCTTGCCCACATTTTACTGACAGCCACCTGAGGGCAGAGATTATGTTTCGGTTCATTCTTTCATTCCCAGTGCTTTACATATAACATGCATTTTGTACATATTGTTTTGAATGATTAATGGTTGAAATTTGTTTTGATATTCCTAAATACTATTAAAGTCTAAATAGATTTTAGTTTCAATGCATTACATTAAACTAAATTAGTTAGAGTGATTGTAAGTACCATCAGAATTTTTTTTACTTTTTTCATATTTTTATAAAACCTAGAGCTCTATGAATGTTCTTTTTATATAAGCATTGTAGCTTTTAGCTGCAAGTTTATAATTTAGTTCCAACATGAATGCTTCATGGGTGAAATGTACAGGAAATAATGCTTTATTTTTGGGCCTTTAAAAAATTTTTGTAACATTTCTTTTCTCATGTTTATTGACAAAATCCACAAGTCTGAAATATAAAATTATAGAAAATATCTCACTGAATACACTGTACTTAGACTCCAAAATTTACTATACCAATTTGTTCCCTCTGTGACTGAATTGCCACAATACTTAAATGATAAAAACTATTCTAGTATTAAAAGTCCTTGGCATGCTGTGATGTCAGTAAATTTCTTTTTAAAAATTACTGTTACTTGAGAGTTATTGTTTTTATTAAAAAGTTTTGGGAGTTTTCCTTTTATTTCATTAGCATATTTTGAACATTCTTAAGATTATAAAGTCGATGATGCCTACATGTGTATCTTTGAACACTGTTTGTAGGTCATTAATATTTGTAAATTTGTTTTGATAGGGTTGGACCAAGTTTTATGAGTTTTCTTTATCAGATCTTCGGGCTGGATACAGCATTATTGACAGGCTCTTTGATGGTAAGTTCTAGTGATAACTGTCCTCCTGATATTAATCGGAAAATTTTTTTGAGGTCTTACTAGCAGTGTGGTTTTTTCAAAATTGACTTCCTATCATGAAACTTGTTTTTGCTTTTCATTTTGTGTTTTATGTCCTGGCTGCTGTGCTTATGTTAGTGGCTAGTTCTCTATCTGTGATGGTCATTAGTTTTACATGCCATAGTTTTCTGATCTTTCTGTAGCTCTCAGGAAGCCAAAACCTGGAGAGACGTTGTCTTCACTTTGTGGCCTTCCTAGGTTTCAGGCTTAGGAAGAATTGTTCAGCTCTCCGGAACTGTGAAATCGGGGACTATGCTAGACTAACGTCAGTACTACACATCTGTAGAATCTAAACTTATGGTTAAGTAGGAGTTAAGGATCAAGGTGCAAATAATAGACTGTAATAGACAAGACCATGTGATGTGATCAGTTGAGGCCATCCTGCCCTCTGCCCTCTGATGTGTATTGTGCAGAGGTGCAGGGGCACAGCAGGGGACGCGAGGGTTTAGAGCAGGGATGGATTGGAGGAGAGAATATATTCATAGGGATCTCAAACTTAAAAATGCCCCTGGAGCCCCACCAAGCCCTTCCCTGAATCCCCCGTTTCAGTAAACACCACCACCAGTCGTGTATTTGTTCAGGGTCAGAACCTGTGAACCACCTGGGTTCTTTTTCTCATCCTGAAATGTCCAGTGTCTGGGCAATTTCTGTCCCTTCCATGTCCAAACCGGATCCCGATTCTGCTCACTGACTCAGCCTCCTCAGTGCTTGCTGCTCCGAGAAGAGCTGCTTACGCAGGCTTCTTTGTGATCAGCACTCTCTGAAACATTCGCCACGCGTCAACCAAGCGTTGAGAAAAGTAAAATGAGGTACGTCGTCCCTGTTTAAAACCTGCAGCCACCTTAGTCCTTTCTTTTCCTCTGACAGGCCAGGCCTGTTCTCCCTGAAGTTCTCGGTGGGTGCTCTTCTGAAGTGCCTCTGTCCCAGACCTCTACGTGATCCCTTCGTTCACATCTCTGCTTCGGGGCTCTTCTTCAGAAAAGCTTTGCGTTACCACCAAATCTAAGTCATTGTAAAGGCTCTTCTCTACCCACTTGTTCTGTTGTGTTGTTGGAGCATGTCAGTGCGACCTTGTTCATCTGTCCCCACTAGAGCACCATCTACCTTAAAGCAAAGTTTTTGGCTGTATGTCCTTAATGCCTGTAGCAGGACCCTCCTGCTAACGGTAGACACTCCGTTATTGTTAGTTGAATTAATATCAGACACCAGAAATTATTCTGTAGCGTATCTTTGGCAGAATGATAGGGATGGACATCTAGTATGTAGCCAAGTCCCAGTTTAATTTATATGTTTATGACATTAAAGTTTTAAATGATATATGTACAAAAAGTACTTATAAGATCATATCTCAGTGAAATTTCCAGAAAATGAGCAGACTCGTGTAGCCAGCACCTTAATCAAGAAATAACGTCACCAGTAATTCTGATTCCACTCTATCTCATGCTGCCTTATGGTCATGACCATCCCCAACCCCCACTGCCACCCCCACTGCCCTGTCCCTCCGCTCCTGTGGTAAACACCAGGCATCTCCTAACTATATACAGCAATTTTGCCTGTGTTCGTACAGCTGGGATCGTATGTCACGTACTGCTTAGTCCTTAGGTTCTTTCAGTTCACGTTGTCTTGAGAGATTCGTCTGTATGGTTACATGCAGGTACAAGTCATTTATTATCAGTGCAATATAGTGTGTCATTCTTTGATCGTGTGACTTCTGTCGGTGGACATGTGGGTCCTGTGGGGTGGTGGTGATCTCGCTGCTACCTTCAGTAACAATTTGGATATGTTTGTGTTGAGTCTGTATGTAGGGGTAGGTGGGACATTCGTTTGTTCACCATTAGTGAATGCCAAATAATATTCTAAGTGAGTTTTTCTGCATGGTACAGATTTCTCAATTACACGTGGTAAAAGTGTATATGAACTTAAAATTTAGTAAATGGGCATATATTGAATCTTTGTAATTAACCCCAGTTCAACAGAGTGTTACCAACCTTCTAGAAGCACCTCCCCTGCTCCTTGATACACATGACCCCACAGTGCCCTAGTGCATGCCAAGGGTAGCCACTTTTCTGACTCTTCGAGTGATTGTTTTCAGTATTAATACAGTATGTACTAAGGCTTTAGCTTGCATTGAAACTTGGTCATTTTTCTTTTTCTTTGTATTTTCAAGTTTTTCTTTAAAATTTTTAATGTTTATTTATTTTTGAGAGTGAAAGAGACAGAGTGTGAACGGAGTAGGGACAGAGAGAGGGAGACACAAAATCTGAACCAGGCTCCAGGCTCCCAGCTGTCAGCATAAAACCCGACATGGGGTTTGAACCCACAAACTGTGAGATCATGACCTGAGCTGAAGTCGGACGCTTAACTGACTGAGCCACCCAGGTGCCCCTCAAATGTTTCTCTAAATTCCTTTTAGTTAGGGGCACCTGGGTGGCTCAGTCGGTTAAGCCTCTGACTTGGTTTCAGCTCAGGTTATGATCTCATGATTCATGAGATAAAGTCCTACGCCAGGCTCTGTGGTGACAGCATGGAGCCTTCTTGGGATTCTCCCTTTCTCTCTGCTCCCCCCTGGCTTGTGTTTACTCATTCTCACTCCTTCGCTTGCTCGCTCGCACTCTGTCTCTCTCTCTAAAATAAATAAACTTTAAAAATAAATAAATTCCAGTTAATATGCACTGTAGTGTTCGTTTCAGGAACTTAATTTAGTGATTCATCACTTACACACAATGCCCAGTGCTCATCACAGGTGCTGTCCTTAGTCCCCATCACTAATCTAGCCCATCCCCCACCCTCTTTCCTCCATCGACCCTCAGTTTGTTCTCTGTCGTTAAGAGTCTCTTGTGGTTTTTTCCCCTCCTCTTTTTATTCCCACACTTCCCGTAAGTTCATCTGTTTTGTTTCTTAAATTCCACATATGAATGAAATCATATGATATTTGTCTTTCTCTAATTGTGCTTAGCATAATACATTCTAGTTCCATCCATGTCCTTGCAAATGGCAAAATTTCATTCTTTTTGATGGCTGAGGAATATTCCATTGTATACATACACCACATCTTCTCTATCCATTCATTAGTCAGTGGACACTTGGGCTATTTCCATAATTTTTCAAAATGCTTTAAACTTTATTTTTATAGTGTCACTATGAGATCATCATTATTAGTGCCCTTTGAGGGTGAGGATACCAAAGCAAGGAGTTTGAATGATTTGTCATTATGTTTGACACTTGTGATGGAATTAATTAATAGCCTCACATTATTTTTTACACATATCACACCATTGAGTTGTTGTGAATAAGAGGCCCGTGCTTTAAAGTGATAGTGCATCTCATGGTAAAAATCTAACTGTATAATCTTAGGATTCTAGAATTTCTTCGCATGTACACAATTAAGTACAAAAAAGAGAAAAAGCTCTAATTATATTGATGAGAAATTATGTAGCTCATAAGACCCGGGCCACATGTATAATCTTGATGCCTGAGTTTCCTGATCTGTAAAATAGGGTGATAGCAGACGCATGTCCATTGATTCAATTTTTGAGAAGGTTGAATGAGAAAAGCCCCATGAAGCATTTGATATTTAGTACATTGACTATATTGAGTAAGTTAGCAGTAATTGACTGTTTTTGCTATTGCTATGATTTCAGTTCTGGTTTTTTAATCTTAAACAAAACTCACCTTGAGAACAGTGGGTGTAAGACACATAAGGTCTTAAAAGTTATATAAAATATATTTTACATAATAGCTAGTTGTATTTTATAGATTGAAGGTCCATTAATGTTTCTCTGTGCCCTGGTGGCCTACCTATGCATGAATGGCTTTTCCATTACTAATCTATTACTTAGTAAACAGCAAGGTAGCACTAGAAAATGGAGTCCTGGTGAAGTCCCTTGTTATAGCTGTTTGGCCACTGTTGATCATAAGATGTAGGCAGGAAGCAACTTTAATCAGTCTTCCATGCTGCAGACGCCCTGTCCGGCAGGAGGCCACCTCGATCACCTGTGCGCTGTGGCCTGAAATAGCACAGAGATCTTTGTGCGATCTCGGACTTTATAGTAATCAAATGCAACTAGACCAGCCCTGCTAGTAGTGAGGGGAACCAGCTACTATAAATGTAATGGTTTCCTATAGTTACTGCGGACGTGAGGTTTAATTCTTACATTTTAAAATTACCACTGAACTGTGGTTAAGAGAATGCTTTGTTGCAAAATGAAATAATGACTTGAGAGTCTCGTGTTGTTTTATACTACATTTCTTTACTAGAATAGGAAATGGACAGTTGACTGTTAAAATCAGGACATTTAGAAGATTACAATATGTGAAGTGATTTTTTTCAAGTTTCCTTATTCAGATTTTTTTTTATGAACTGAGATTTTCATCGTTATATAAAAATAGGCTTTGGATATATTCTAAATAGGACTTTCCCATCTGAGGAGGCAGTGCTGTGTGGTCGATAAGAGTACAGCTTTGGGTCCAGATCTTTGGGACTGCGTGACTTTCTGATTTTGGTCACTCAGCCTCTATTCCTCAATTTATTCATCAGTATAATTAGATCTTTTTAATATTTCTATGTTATGAGGCTTAAGTGACGTTTGGGGAATTTTACTTGATTAAATAATCTCAATAGATACTAGCCGTTCTGTGATTATATTAATATTAATTATTATTAAGAATTTATTAATGAGCTTTACATTCATATTAGTGAGATTGTAAGGAATGATTTAACTTGGTTAAATGTATATTGTCATATCCTATAAATATAACTGGAGCCAAGAATTTAGTTAATATCTCAGAATAATTTAGAATATTTTTAGAATATTTCTAATATGTTAGAAATAAAGCTAATAAAAGTTTGCTTTAAAATTCTAGGTACCAAAGATGTTCAGTGGGAATTTTTACACGGTTTACTTGAAAATGCTATTTATGGCGGACGCATAGATAACTATTTTGACCTTAGAGTTCTTCAGTCATACCTGAAACAGTTTTTTAATTCTTCAATAATTGATGTTTCAAACCAAAGGAACAAGAAAAGTGTTTTTCCATATTCCATATCTCTCCCCAAATCCTGCAGCATTCTGGTAGGTAAAATTCATCGTGTGTAATCTATTCCCAAATACCTGAATCCTTTTCTTAAATTGTTGAATACATACATGTTTATTTTCAAATGCACAAGTAATTCCCTTTCACAAGTATGGATTATTGTTATGCACTGTGCGGCCTATTTCTGGTGTCTTACACACTTGTGAATACTTACAGGAGATTGATGATAACCGGATGCAGTGTGTAGGGAAATCTTGGAGGGAGTGGCCAAGGGAAATGTTACAAATGTAAGAGCACTGTGAAGATCCACAAGGAGAGGGTCCACGAGTTCCCAGTGGGCACAGGGAAACTGAAAGAAGTCCAACACTCTTTAACAAATCTGTCTTCATTTGCTGGCTTATAAGTTTAAATCAGCTCTAACCATATGAGGGTTACACTCTTGGTGGCTCTGGTAGTAACGTTGTCATTGAGGGGTATTTACTTTAGCCAGCTGGAGCTTTCCACCTTGAGTCATCCCACAAAAGCCGGTAGGATGAAGTCCTCTTTTCCACAAAGTAGCGCAAAATGTGGCCCGAAGATGTCAAGTCTCATTTATGTGGCCTCAAACTTATCTTGGCTTAAAGTCCAAATAATGTCCTAGAACATTAAAATCATTTATCTCTTCATGAATTACAGGGATACATATTCAGTTGTATACTTCTCTCGGAATTATGCATTTTTTTTGTCATCTAAGTATTTTTCAAGCAGATTCTTTTGTTTCAGTGACATAATTGTCAAAAGTAAAAGTTTCGAAATCAATATTGAATATATTACCAAATGTCTTACCTGTTAAGTATCCTGTCTGTTTTGTTTTTCAGTATCTTTCACTCATTTAGTCATGTATTCAGTACATGACTAAGCGCCCCCAAATATCCGTGCGCCTGCTGGTGGCCCTGTTCCAGACCGTGTGGGCACCGGGGGCATCTGTGGGGCTGACCTCCTAGCGAGAGGGCCTCACCCAGCAAACAGAGGCGTCACATGGCTATTCGTGGCGTGCTCATTTCACACAGTGCACTGACTGGTCTCCCCTCTCTATTTGAGGTTTAAACTGAAAAGTAAAAGCCCCACAGAAAGTGCACATCATTAATGTCCTCGGCAGTGAATTTTATACGCTGAGCATGTGAGTGTAACCAGTACTGGGATCCGGAAGCAGAACGTGACCAGCTCCCCACATGTCCTCCTCCTGCCCCCTGTCATTGCTGCGTCCCCCTCACAGATGAGGCCCTTCTAATAGCGACGTTAGTTTCACCTGTTTTTGAGCTTTGCGTAAATGTTCTCATGGGGTGTATATCCCTTTGCCTCGAAGTGCGGAGAAATCCGTGTGGACGTGCAGCTGCGTGTTACGGAAGAAACGTGTCGGTGTACAGTCGTTGGGGAGAGCAGACGTAGCCAGTAGAGATGAGAGAGGTTGACAGCCATTTTGAAATGAACAAAGGGAAGTGATAGACAAAAGTTGCTCTGTATTTATAGGATGATTTGTGAGAATCAGTGTTTGGCTTTCTGTCTAGTAGAGTCCTACAGAAGGAGGAAGCCAGAGCTTCCCGGGCGGGTGACCACACCTGCGTGTGCCCTACACTGCACACGCATATACAAGCCTGCCCTGGGTGCTCCTGTATGCACGTGCTTACACGCCTCTATGTATTGGGATTCGACGGTTTGACGAAGTTAACCAGTGTTCGCTTACAGATAGGATGGGAAAGATTTCCAAAAAAAAAAAAAAAAAAGCATTTCTTTCCAAAATTTGACATGTTTGCAGGCCCCGGGCTTCCTGGAGTTCAACTGTTGCCCTGGAAATAGTTGTCAGACAGCCCCCAAGGATGGGAAAGAATGCTGGAGTCTCTTTAACAGCTCTTCCTCCTAGTTCAGCAAGAATGGTGTAGACGCACACGCAGTGTCCCCTTGAAAATAATTCGTTCTTCCTGACAGCAAGCAAACAAAACAGGTCTTACCCTTGAGCCAAACCGAATAAATTCTCCCTCTTGGTCAACACTTAGGTTTCTCATCTAGAGTTTTGACTCTAACTGTGCTTGGTAAATTGAGCCTTTGCAATGCTGACAGTAATTTGGGGTGAAATGAGAGGATTATCCGTGCATTTCATTACACTTCACCAGCGGACTGAGGACTGACTGGGTAATGGCTTTATGGAAAGTGTTTACAGAGAGCTTTTTGCTTTCCAGAGTAAGTGTATGGAGGTTTCTGGGGTGTCAGGAATATTTATCTTAGGGTAAGCGGAGCTGCGCTCTGCACATCGGTCGTGGGTCGGATGCATGGTAAGTAATCACGGGGCTTTCCTGGAAACATGTTATGTGACATCTGACACAGTAGCCACAGCCACTCAGGTAGTTCAGTTTAATAAGTGCAGGGTCCCTTTGAATGTGCGGAGTTGAATGTAAAAAATCCAGTATCACATAAGCTAGGGATGAGCAAGTGGTAATGAGCATATTTTCTGAAGATGACTAAGTGAGTGTTACCCAGACTGAAAGGGAGATTGACCTGGAAAGCGTAATCATGTGAATAACCGATACTTCAGTACTTGCCAGTATCTGATTTCAGTGGTTGTAAGTTCAGTGCTTACCAAAAAGCTGGTTTCCACTTGTTCACATTTAGGACTACCGTGCTCTCATCGAAAAGCTTCCGGAGGACGACAAGCCTAGTTTCTTCGGTCTTCCTGCCAACATTGCTCGCTCGGCCCAGCGCATGATCAGTTCTCAGGTAACCTAGGACAAGGGGTGCTGGAGGGAAATGTCGCTCGGGAGCCTGAGAGCAACAGCATGAGACTTGCTTTAATCTACAGACCCCACAAGCTCATACTGAAAATTTTTATTTTATTTAGCACAGTACATTCCAGTCCCACCCTAAATAAATTTTAAAGGAGCCAAATGGCTCTATATTAAGAGATTTGTTAAAATCAGTAAAATAACACACTGAACACTATTGCCTCATCCAAAATACATGTATTTTACCTCTTGTGATTATTTTCAGGCTACTTTTTTTTTAAGTTTTTAAATGTCAATTCCCGAATTTTTAGCCATACAGTGTAGTATTAGTTTCAGATGTACAATGTTGTGACTGAACACTTGCACACATCACCTGGTGTGCGTCACCACAAGTACACTCCTTCACCCCCATCCCCCACCCACCTCCCCGCTGGTGACCAGCAGTGTGATCTCTAGAGTGAGGAGTCTGCTTCTTGTTGCCCTCTCTCTTTTCCTTTTGTTCACTTGTTTTATTTATTAGATTCCACACATGAGTGAGATCCTATGAGATTTGTCTTTCTCTGACTGACTTATTTCACTTAGCGTAACACACTCTGGTTCCATCCACGTCGTTGCAAATGGCAAGATTTCATTCTTTTTGATGGCTGAGTAATATTCCTCTGTGTGTATATATGTGTGTGTGTGTGTGTGTGTGTGTGTGTGTGTGTACACACCACATCTCCTTTATCCATTCATCAGTCGAGGAACAGTTGGGCTCTCTCTGTATTTTGGCTGTTGTCGATAGTGCTGCTGTAAACATCTTCTTTGCACCTTTCTATGTAAGATAAACCTTTTTAAACAGAACAGGATACTGCAGAAGAGTCAAAACTTCCTTAATTATTAGAAAATGTATTGGCCATCCTTACTGTGTGTGTCAAGAATTCAAAAGATTGAAATAATTTCTTTGGAAAATGACTAAAGAGTATTTTTCAGTGTCTGTTATTTTACCTGGCATGCCTTTCATTTAACATCCAACATTGCATTTTTAAGCCATCTTTTGGCATTTTACGATTTTTTTGTTTAGGTCAGTGTTGGCGTTTCCTTTTTAAGAAAGAAAAAATGAGGAAATGGAATGAATAAGCAGCTTGCAAGTTAACAGGATGCTAATGACATGTTTTCCTTGTCTTCTCAATGCCAGCCAGGTGTGATTGCTTGAGGCCGTGCATCACAGGATCGCCTAGTGTGCTTTACACGGGATGTTTCAGTCAGAGGCTCCTCCCAGATTTAATAGTGGAAGCATGAATCACGTAGGCATTGTATAAGAATCATGATCTAGGAATAAAGGAGAAAATTAGGATGTTTTGAGGAAATGAAGGCTAGTTCTGGTCCTAAGACATTAGGAGCAAGGAGAAAAATAGATTGGAAAACTGGTTTGTAGAATCCCTTTTGTCTCAGAACAGTTAGTTTTCCTAAAATGATGTCCTGTACTGTGTGCGCTCCTGACATCATATTACTAAGCAGTGTCAGTCAATAGCTTTACTTAGGTCTTTTTTAAATCGTGATTTTTGTATTCTCCCACGTAGTGTCGTTTAGGTCCTTGTTAATACACGTTTATCATGACGATGGTAGTGGTGGTGATAGTTTCGTACTTACCTGCCTTCCGAATTTGGCTTTGCTAAGCACTTTACGTGCATTACCTCATTTAACTCTGAAAACAATACTGTGATATGAGGGTCATTATTGAACTCACTTTACAGTTGAGAAGATCGAGGCCACAGGAGATTATTTTTCCCAAGATCACACTCTTAGTAGGTGAACAAACCGGGTCAGTGAGCATGAGTTCACGTGTACACGGCCCAGCCTGCCCCCACGGCGGTTCCAGCCCTCTTCCATCATGAGAGTCCATACTTCTCTCCATAGAGGTTTCCTGTTTCGCACCGCCTCCTTTTCGTGGGGGAGAAAAACCCTTTTGCTAGGTAAACGTCTTTGGTAAAATAGTCTTTTTTGCATTTTGTCACCTGTTGACCTAGGAACTCAGGTCATATCTTAATCACAAACGTTTTTTTTTTTTTTTTTTTAATTTTTTTTTTCGACGTTTATTTATTTTTGGGACAGAGAGAGACAGAGCATGAACGGGGGAGGGGCAGAGAGAGAGGGAGACACAGAATCGGAAACAGGCTCCAGGCTCCGAGCCATCAGCCCAGAGCCTGACGCGGGGCTCGAACTCACGGACTGCGAGATCGTGACCTGGCTGAAGTCGGATGCTTAACCGACTGCGCCACCCAGGCGCCCCACAAACATGTTGTTTTAATAAACTTTATGAATGGGAAGTCTGGAAGATAAGTGAATAAATTAATGAAATATTTGAAAAGTTAAGAAAATCTCAAGTATCTTGACATTAAAATGTAATGCAGTTTAAATCAACTGCCTGTGGAGTATTATCCGGCATCTGTATTCTCAGGAATCCTTCAGAGCTTAGAAATTGCTTTATAGCTAGACTTAAGAGTCTTTAGCGCAAGCAACAGTTTTTACAGAAATAATTCTCTAATTCACTGCTTCATGAAAGATGTACCACTTCCTCATTGTGATTCAAAAGTGCCATCGTGATTTTATAGTGAATATTCATTACAAGACTAAGTAGAATTTGTGTCCATTGTTGATCTAAATACCATGGTACCTGCGTATCTTAAACTCATGGTGATACCTTAAACTCGTAGAGGATGAGGCTGTGTAGAAGAGGGGCCATCGTGACTCCTGCCCACGTAGTGTGTGCAGTGGGACAGCATCTGGCACTGAGGCTGGTGGAGATCAGGTATTCGCTACAAATGTTCTTTCACTTTGCAAAGAATTGAGAAAGTAGCGGCATAAAAAATTACAGCTGCAAACAAGTGAATAAGACCACGTGATGGATGAAGGAACCTCATAGTATTTCTAAGGCTTGGGGATTAAAAATTCCCACCAGAAATTGGATATTAAGGTATGTAAAATCGATAAGGAACGTGAGGCTTTAAGCATATTGGTGAAACCTCAAAGCCAGAATGAAGTACTCGGAGAAGTAACAAGGGTATCTCCTTGGTTCTTGTGGGAGCTGTGTTCCATAACCACGCGCACTTGTCTGCTCCAGTAACACCCAGCCCCGGTCTGTGACTCCACCTCTTTACATTACTGTTCCCTTCACAACAACGGGCCATAGGTCTGTAAGATCTCAGAGATCCAAATCTGTTGTTTTCTCTTTCTTTTTCCCAGATTTGTCTCCTTGCCACTGTAAAAGCAACAGACCCATGTCTTTACCGTTTCTTTTTTCTTTTCTTTCCCTCTTTTTATATTTAACTGTTCACCCACGATTGCGGATGTAGATTAATCCTCAAACTGACATAATTGTTTTTCTGAGTTAAAGCCTGGAAAATGTCTGAGGGTGGTGGTGCTGGCCACTTACATGAGAATTATTTGGCAAGTTTATCTTCAATAGGTGGATTGCTAAGCAGCATCCAAGATGTGTAAAATTGGACTGTTGAGTGGGGCTTTGGAATCTGTTTTGGCACGAATTCGTAGGCACCCTCAACTTTGAAAGCATCTGTACTACAGTTGTGAAAAACTGAGAATTTCTCACGTTGCTATTCTGAGTCGCACAAAATCCTCATACTCGTTCATCCCTGGATATCTGCATGGCTTGCTCTTTTATTCCCTTTAGGTGACATCATCACAAAGGCCTTTCAGACTTACTTTAAATAGCAACTTCCCGCAAACCTTGGTATTACTTCTCCTTTGAATGGGCTTCATTTTTCTCTTAAGATGCATGTTTCTGCAGGACCCGTGTATGTTTCTTTAGTTCTGAAATTTTTACTATCTTTTCAAAACACTATCTTTGATCTATATAAAAGATTACATATGTAACATTTATATATATGTATATATATATGTAATTCATATTAAAAAGTATGATGATGTAATGAGACTCATGAACCAACAAACAAGAACAAGGATATTACCAATAGCTTAAATCAACTTACATGATTCTTCTGTTCATCTCCCTTTCTGTTAAAGGAGCTACCATTCACTTTTGTTTTAAACTTCTTTAATACCTTTGTACTTCTTAAACACTTGTATTACATGCATGCATTTACACACACACACTTGTTCTTACAAGTATATTGCTTCCTTTAGATAATTAAAAAAAATTTTTTTAGGGGCGCCTGGGTGGCTCAGTCAGTTGAGCTTCCGACTTCAGCTCAGGTCATGATCTCACAGTCTGTGAGTTGGAGCCCCGCGTCAGGCTCCTTGCTGACAGCTTGGAGCCTGGAGCCTGCTTTAGATTCTGTGTCTCCC